TATGTTTGTGTTTACGTATGTTTGTTTTTTTTCTTTTCTTTATTAATTTTGACCAATCAAATTGAAGGAAATATATTATATTTACTGATAATATAGAACCCGTTTAGAGAACCGTAAATATAATATTAAGCCCATTTTGATTTAACTAAATGGGTTTAATTCTTAAAAACTCATTATATTTACCCATCTTACCTACCCGTAATCATGCTCTTAACAAGCCATATGGAGAGCTCTAGATCCGGAATAGCAGCTACCCTACCCTATAGTGATATATGCGGAAACTCCTACGCAACGGGATCTTCATTCATGTCATAATACTCTCAAAAAGTTTGTTGGCCACGTACAAGAACAAGTTAAAAAAGACATGTACATAATCTATAAAGAGATTGATTGACTAAAATATTATTTCTTTGTCTGCCCTAGAAATTACAACTCCCTCATGTCTCCCTTCTCGTATTTTCTTTTTCTAGAATTGATTTCGTTTGTTCCCGTACATTTTTGCTGAGTTGCAAGCTAGTTAATATCTACCGTGAATAGGAAACTATTTGCCTTTTCTCTATTATATACATGATATTAGCACTATCATTCGTCATGATCTTCCGTATATTATTATATATTTTGTCGAGTTTCTTTAGGGTCTAGCTAATGCATATTTGTAGATTTAGAAAGCTATTTTATCCAAAAAAAGGTCCGTAAGAATAACAAAATTGCATACGTAACAATTCGAATAGTCTAACGTGATATCATGTGTTATAGATTAGGCAATGCATTTTTTTTTAAACCTAATTAGGCAACGCATATACTTGTGGTTTCTGGATTCTAAAATTTATCGATGTAAGGTATGGAAAATAATAATTCAAAAGCGTGTTAACTAAACCTATCTTTCTGTATACTTGAATCATTCACAGTTGACAATGTGGATTTGATGACGATAAATTGCTTGAGTACAAAAAAATGATGTCAATTTATATCAAAAGTTAATAAGCGCGCTGGAAAAAAATTAAGAAAAATTTCAAAAAATACCACTTTTTAAGTGTCACTTTACAAAAATATCACACTTTTGAAATCTTTACAAAAATGCCACTTTTTCAAT